CGGCAGCGCCCGCCGGCCGCGGATGCGCCGCTCCGCCCCGGTTGCCGGCGAAGGAAGAAAAGTTTGGGGGCGACTTAGGGCCTCGGGAGCGCCGGAGGAGAAGGAGGATGCGCGGTTTCCCCGGCTGATCGGGAAGGAAGGATGACCGAGGGAGGATGTGCACCAGCAGCCAGATCATCGGGAGCCTCCTGGTGCTCTCCGTGCTGGAGATAGGGTTAGGGGTGTCCAGCGTGGCCGTGGGGGCGGTCAGTTTCAGCCTGGTCCTCACAGAGAATAAACCTCAGCTGGGAGACTCTTCTCCGGTATGGAGCGGGGTGTGTGTACGTTAGCCATTTCACTCTCTCTTTAACTCTTTATGGTGATGATCAGACCCTGCGAAGGCATCCCCCTCCCTTCCCTTCCCTTCTTCCCTTCCGCGTGTGCATGCTGCGCCGAGAGCCTCGCCGGGACCATTTCCGATGTGCATGGGGTACAGTCTGCATACTCGTGGGGCGAGGGGGGAGGCACGGGGGGGAGAGATGTATATGTGTGTTGGGGGGGTGGGTGGGAGACCCCTTCTTTTTCGGTCCTTTTCATTTTTCAATTTTGCTGTGAACAATTGAACTTTCTGTGAACCCATTCTCACACTGGGGAAAGCCCGATGCCTCGAGTGGAACACGGGCCGTAGCTTACAATCTTTATATTGACTGTGAGTTTTGCTTTTTAAAAAAGAACAGCCCTGTCCCTTATGACGAGACTGTCAAAAGGTGTTTTAAAAGGGTATGTCAGCTGAGTTCTGAGCTTTTGGAGGAAAAAGAGAAAGAGGAAATGGGAAGGAAAAGGAAAGATACGTTCTCATGATCTGGGCACCCTGAGCTTCTTGTAAAATGAGCAAAAAAATCAAGCACCAACAATGGGTTAATAGAAGCATCTTGTTCATATCCCATTTCTCACTTCTCAAAAACCTTTCTTATATTTTCAGTCGAGATATGCATGTTTCTGGGAAGAATATTTCTCCAAATGGTTCTTTATATTTACGAAACAAGGAGTAGGAAATATTGAATATTCAGCCTAAACATGAGTGGGCATTTTTGAACTCCAAAGCTGGTTTTGGCCAGCTTGGATTGTACAGCAGTATTTCTAAAAGGATTGTTTGCTTTGCTTGAGATAAGATGATAAATGCAAAGAACTCTTGGTTATTCACCAGAGTAACCTCCTGTAATTTATAGAATCATTCTGACAAAGTGCTTCATGTAATATTCTCACTGTCAATAATTATTAATTATTGACAACAGTCATAAATATTTTGGGGAGGATATAAACACACACATAATTCTGTACTGCAGAACAGGTAGGTGAGAAATGAGAATGAAGACCAGATAAGATAAGACAGTGGCCAACAGGCAATGATATTATCAAAATCACTTCAAAGAGGGAGATTTCTGATCATTGCTGCTGAAGAAAAAAGATTACTCAAAAACAGTGTCTATCTGAAGATTTAATGACAGAGGGTAATACCCTGGGTTTCACTGAAGTCAAAGAGTTTTGACCAGTCAGTGAATCAGTATTTTATGCAGTGATTGCATTTTGTGACAACGCGATCACAGCTGATACCATTTCATGACGATGCACATTTCCTGCACAATTGCCTCATTCATTTTTATGGTTTCTGTTGCCCCAGAGTTTGTACTAGCCATACATCAAGGTCCTGTTACGTTAGATGTTGGCTCCAAGGACCTTATAATCAAAGCAAGAGACAGATGTAGGATGAAAGGATGTAAGGGAGTACAAAGAAACAACAAACCAAAATTGATTGGTAAAACAGGTGGTTTCATTAACACACCAGCAGTCTGGCTGATTTCAAGCTGTTTGTAGGTAGAGTTATAGAGAGGAATAAGACAGAGGACAAAGAAGTGATTTTGCAGATGTTTGTAGGAAATTCTGCCCATATGTGAGCGCAGAGGCATGGAAGGGAACCCAAAGGGACTTGTAACAAGTGGGTGAAAGATGCCCACAATCAGAGCCAGGAGATGCAGGCATCAATTGCTAGGAACTGTGCAAACAACTGCAGGTTGGGTAGGCAGAGAGAGGCCACAAAGACACTGTAAAGTGGAAGCAAGCAGCTTCTGCTTCCCGTAGAAGAGGAAATGAGAAATCACAGCGGTATGCAGAGTGGGGTGACATGGTTATAAAGGTTTACTTACTTTGCCTTGAACTAAAGATCTTTGACCTAAATTGTCACCACTATGGTACCCTCTTTGTACTATTCCAACAGTTCAAAACTGTCTGTTAGGTTGTTTTCTTCTGACTAGAGGACTAGCAGGTGAGACAGGACTGGAAGGGGCCAGAGATCTACTGTTCCCCAGGGGTGATTAGGGCCGTGGGTAACTAGGTCCAAATTAAAACAACTGGAGAAAGGTTTGTTTGCACAATCCTCTGAATTTCCTGCTGCAGAAATGGCATAAGCCTCCTTTCTGCTCACTGGATCTTACACTAGCTCATGCTGCCTGTATTAAAGAGTATGTCTTGCATAAAATATTTTTTTCCAATTCACACTCTTGAATCAAGGTTTTCCTTTGAGAAATGAACATTAACATTCTTTTCTTTCAGGAAAAGAAAGGGACATAAAAGGAAAAACTAATATTTTGACATGTTAGGATGCAAAACACTGGAGGTAATTGAACAGTATCATGTCTCCTGTTGTAATATACCTGGAAATATACTGAAAACTTTTGACCCTGTTCTATCCTTTTATGTGGGTGGAACTCAGCAGAGGCCCAAGTTCATAAGGAAGTAGATGAAGATAGCATCACCATGGAAACCTTAACCTGAATTCCTAAAATTTGGGCATCTTAGAATCATGCACATTGTATCTCCTATACTTGCCTCTCTTTCTTGCTTTGCATTTGACACACATTAGCTTTCTTCTCTAAGAGAGTTGCTCTTATTGTTCACCATCTCCATTCAGACAGATAATTTACTAACATACCTAACAATGTCTACATCAAAAATGCATGGAAATGGGCAAACAGTTTCAAAATTTGTTGTTCTCATTGGACTTGAGCTGGGTTAAGATAGTAAGATTTGTTTAAAAAGTAGCCAAAAGAAAACAACTGAAGGTGTGACTGACTTCTCAAATTATGTGGAGCATGTGGAGATGATTACCCAATTTGTTTTACATCATATCCAAACTGTTCTCTTTAAAATAGGCCACGGCCTCTAAATTGCAAAAAAAAAAAAAAAAAAAAAGTATAGTCCCATATAACCTAAATGAACGTGTCGTTGCTTTCTGGATTTTCTTTCTGTTTGTCATGATTGTATTGGTATAATCTACTCCACAGGCTGTACTCAGTGCCTCTCAGACTTCTTTTTTCCAGAAACTGAGGTATAAAACCCACCATTCCAATTCAGTTATATGACGTACTATAGAAATGATCCAACCAATGAGCATACGGAACCGCTAACACTAACATAGCAAGAATGACAGCATCCATAGCAAAGGCTTTTGCACAAACAAAAAAAAATCAGAAGATAAGAATTCAAAACCTATTCACAGATATTTTAAAATGGTCACATACTTTCCCATCTATATTTAGAAGGTAATGGTTTCATCGCTATCACTAGGAGTAGTGACTATATATTCACACACACACATATGTATATGTATATGGCTCTAAGTCTCATTTATTCTGCAGTGGTGTGTAAATTCTTGCTGTAAATGAGATTCTTTCACAGAGAGAGAGAATAAGAGACAAAAGCCACATCTTTAGTCAAATATGCCATCTATCTTCATATGCAAGAGAGATACCTGATGATTCACTTCTGGCAATGCCCCTCAGGAGTAATAGTTTCGTCCCTTATAAAGACAAATACCTAAATGTATTTGAGAAATACACTTTCTCTGGATGTTGGTCAGTCTCTCTGTCTGTAGGGGCAGAGTTATTGTTTCCATGATTTGTGATTTTAGCACAGTGGAAGTCTGCCTACCCATTAGAAATCTGCATTTATAGTTTGGCTACAGAAATTTGCTCCAAGTTGGCACTTCAAATATTTGATTTCAAGGACTTTTTTTTTACCCAGGATTTGAAGAAAGAGAAGAAGGGTCAGTAAGTATGGAACTCTCCCAGAGCAAGAATATCATTTTAGACTGTTAAATCAATGTTGGTGGCCTAAAATTTTAAAACATTAAATTTTGCATCTAGTTTTTACTGCTGCCAAGTTTCCTTTGGAAAGAACAGCCAAACTATTATTTTTTTTTTTTTCAAAAGAACACTAAAAAATTCACATTATTGTTTAGCATGCAGACAAAATGCAGATGTGATCCTACTTTATTTTAACATGTGCATTGCATTTTCATCAAACTGACCATAATTCTAGCTGGCTCCTGATGAAATGAATAGCAGCACTCAGTGAGCTCAGTGGAAGCTGGAGAGAATTCTGTACCTATAGAAGAGGGAGGATATACCAAGCATGGGAGCTTCTTGCCTTGCATGGAACCAGGACAGGTCACTCCAGCTGAGAAGTCTTTCAGTAGGTTTTCTTTATCATTCAGGCATTGCAGAAGCCTAAACCAATCTGGAAGACGGTCTGTCCAAGGGGACTTGTAGTTCACACATTGTATTTAAGAGGATCTGTTGAATATAGACTGACTTAAGCATACGCTTAAATGTTTTGCTGAGATAAGACTTTAGTTCACCTGCAGGGAACAATCTTTAATTTACCAATTTTTGAGACGAAAGTAGTCATACTCTAAACTAAATATTTGATAAAAAAACAACAAAAAGCATTATTTACAAAAAGCATTGCTTACTATTTGTTATTCTGATAGGCCCTAAACAAGTAAATAAATATTATTTTGTGCTGAGAATTTGAGTGTTTTTCCCAATGATCAGAGTTTTTTTGAATCACTGATGGCAGGTCAACTGTCAGGTTCAGAGACCCACTTCTAAACTTCCTTGAGTGTTTCTAAAAACCATTTCCCATTTTTAAAGCATCTCTGCAGGCCTGGAAGCAGATGAATGGAAACACTAATCACAGGGACTGGGATGGAATTTAAACTGCTTGAATATGGCTTGAATTAGTGGGAATTGTAGCACCACCTGAGCTGATATGACCAAACAACACGCTGCCAGGTCTAGGTGTTAGCTAGGATTAGAAATGTTTTAACACTATTTCTCACTTCAAATAGCAGAACCCCCCTCAGCATGACAGATTTGGTGGGACACAGGGTGGGTTGTAGCAATGCTGTTGCTTCTGGGTCTGGGTCTGGATGACTTGCAGCAAGCTAGACATTCCTGTCCCCATAACCTCTTACATGGGACAACCGCATCATTAGAAGTTT